CACACACACACACACACACACACACACACACACACACAAAATGTAAATGAAAAGACATAACAACATTGCAGTGTCACCAGTACATACAACCGCACAAAAAGTAAAGAAATGCGCAAATGATAAATTATCGTTCCCATGGATTTAAAGTCAGGCACCTTTTTAAAACACAATGTACGTTACTTTTTGGTTCGAGTTATGAAAAATAAAACGCTCGTTTTGGACTAAGGATGGAAAACTGAGTTAGATCGAATTCCTCGTCTATGTGCAACTTAACTTATTGAGATTTGTAAAAGTATTCTTTTCGGTCTCAGACAAAGACGAGAGGTCTTTAAAATGATTTGAGCCCACGCCAAAGGGAAACCCAGGAAAAGGTGGATTAGTTAAGTAAGAGACGCCTTAAAAGCAAGCAATTTCCGTCTCCCGGAGACTTTCCAGTTTGCCAAAACCCGATGTCTTTGACTGTGGAAGACCGCTCAGGGTATTAGCGGCAGATTAGGTAAAAGCAACGTAAGTAGTTAGATCCCGTGTAACCTGCATCGTTGTGATTTGTTTCTAAGGGGGCTTATCGAACTTCTTTTACGATTTGGGATATTGCCATACCAATTTAAATTTTCAGGATTCACTTCTCTAAAGACAATTATTGTCCACAAGACTAAAAGCGAAGTTAAGGGAGAGGGGGGGGGGGCTACACCTGACAGCTATCTCGCTTATAAGTGGACCAAATTTTACCAAATTTCGCGCTTATAACTAGCATAGTAAGAAGTTTTAATATCCGCAATCAAGTTTGAGAAAACGTTTCGTTTTCATGGATACGGCTGTGATATTGGATTTTGTTTGCATGTCTTACGTAATGAATACCGCTCTTATTTTTCCTGGAAATTGATTGTTGAACATTAGATCTAAAATTTTGTCAGTTGTTTTTTTCCTAAACGAATTAGACAATTTTAAATGATTCTTTCCTAAGGTCCACACTCCAGACACCACCAACAAAAAGTTATTCCCTATATCAAAAATCCAACCGACAAATATTTTGTATTACATTTTCTCTTCATTCGGTAAAAATTGCATGACGATTGGATGAAAAAATGGGGGGTTTTCAAAAAACTATAGAGAAAAATCGCGTTTTTAGAAAACGGCCGGTAAACGAAAATAAAACATTGCTTTATGAGGAAATGGTGGTGACAAACATGCCCGGTAACGGGAAAAATAAGGCTTTTAGATGTTCTTATGCGATTGCGTAGTTGTAGAAGAGGCTGAGGAAGCTAAAAA